ACAGTCTACTAGGACAAAGTGTGTATAACTGACCAATTGGCTGCCACTGTCGTGCTCGCTCACCTTCAAGTAAGCCTGTGAGAAGACAACTAAAGAGGTGGTCACAACCCTCTTGGTGGACCTCAGAATTCGACGAGCTAACTTATCTACAACGAAATATTTGGCGTCTGTGGGACCGCGGGGTGAAAGTGGTCTACTAGACCAGCACCAAATTCTACCCTTTACCTTACTCGCCACTAAAGCAGCATCACCCGCGATCCCTCAGTGTTGCGGCGCCAAGTCTGCTGAAGCCGTGACGGCGAAGTACACCAACACAGAAGGCCACCTTTCTCCAGTTTGACGATTGGGTGCCTTCCCACCATGACTGCAATACTGGCCATGCCCGACCCGGCACTTCACTAACACCGACAACATTAAACTAACACACACAACCGCTGCTGGAGCAGACATCAATCCACGCCTACCTTTTACTTTAACTTCAACCAGTTGTCAGAGGACGGCGAGGAATAAGCATCGTCCCTCCAACGCCTAACCGGCACGGGCAGCAACCTCGTCAACATTCGGTGAGTTTCACTGACTACCATTCGAGTAGTTGAGAACCGAAACACACCTACGCCAGCGATCCGGACATCAGCGTCTACCTACGATTACCACCCTCCATCCTCGTTGAGCCCAAATTAAGAAAGGCAAGTCGTGATTTGACAGAAATGAAGGACGAGGAGGAGGATCTATTCTAGTGGCAATGCTGTACTGGGCAAAAGACTATAGGCATTTTCACTAGTCATCAAAAATCGCACAGGCAAACACACCGATACACTCACTCAAGGCGTGAGAGATGGAGCACACACCCAAAAGCGGAAGATATAAAGGAGGGGCAGGCAAGGTGAGGGGTGAACGCGAAGAAGAAGGTGGACACACAAATCGTCTGTTTTTTGGCAAAGGCACACACGCACGCGCGTTGAGCAGAACCTGAGGATGGCACAGGAGGGGCAGAGATAGAGATAGAGAGGGAGACGGCACTGCACCCCTCCGTCGTAGGTATTGGCACAGTGTGTGAGTTGGGGATTGGACCTGTGCTGCGACACGCCGGAGGAGCACCTCCTCCACCACCACCACCACCTCAAACTTTTTAAACAGCTATATCTATTACACACCTACTACACCGCAGGAGGGAACGTTATAAAGGGTTAGAAAGACAGCGTCCATAGATCCTTGTCGTCAATGGCAACGGCACAACAAATGCGAAGACACGAAGATGGAGGAGGGAGTAGGCAAACGATGGACGGATATTGACAGGTCGGTTGGTTGGACTGATGCATTGATAGTCTGACTGCCTTTCTCGTATTCTTCTCTCTCTCTTGCTGAAAGACCTGACCACAACGTCGGCATAGTCATGAGAGTGCAGGCTCGAGGAGCCCATAATGAGGTGTAAGATTATTTGAAGAGGAGATGTGGAAGAAAGCACAGCCATCAGACGAGGGGTCAGGAAATGCGATCGGACGGATGATGGGCGGGAATATGGCTAGCTCCGACCATCAAAAAATGCTGGCAGATAGAGACGTGGGCGCGTACACTTGACACATACATCCTCAACCATAAGGGTGGTGGTGGAAGAGACGAAAGTGGAACAGCAATGCAAGCAGGCACATGATCACGGCCATATCTCTTGCTGAATGAGTGAGCGAGGGAGTGTGCGAATAATGACTAGTTCATAAGTCTACGCAGGAAATGTAAACATCAGCACGAGCATGAGAGACAGAGTATCAAATAGGAATGATTGAGGTTTGCGTGTGTATCAGGAGGTGGATAAGGTGAGGAGGGAGTTCCATGAATATGCATACCGATAATATAGATAAAGGTAGAGATATAACGTGTGTGTTTGAGGATAGGGTCTCAAGGAGGAAGTAGGCCAGATATAAAACGCGAGATTGAATAAGACGAACGAGAGTTGTGAGCAAAACGCTGAATGTGATTTGGTCGAAGCATTTCGGATATTTTTTGCATCCAGACAGACGGGTGACGGGAGAGGGACGCAGGGACTAACATCTATCAATCAATCGACCCAAATGGTACTTATTCGTCCCTCTTTTGGATTGGAGTAAAACTTGGCGAAAGAGAATCTAGTTGGTGCTGCCGCCACCACTAACGCTACTGCCACCAGAAGCGGCAGCAGCAGCAGCAGCAGCAGCAGCAACAGCGTTAACACCAGACACGGCGTTGAGTGCTTCCACAATGAGATCGAAAGCCTGTCTCTCCTCAATTATGGTGACGAGAAGAGGTGAGGAATTAGGCGCATTAGCGGTGAGCTGAAATCCGACATCCATAGCAACCTCAGGGGTAATAAACCGAGCGACAAATGTGCCACGTGTGGGGAGCGGATGCAAGTTCAGTAATCCAGTACCCAGGAAGGACTCAAGAGTTGGTCGAGACATGGAAGGAGGCACACCTCGGATCAAAAGCCATCCCGAGGCCAGGTTACCTCCGTTTCCTGCAAAGTTATCCGTCCCGCTATTGTGGCGCGGGCTGCGGAAGCCATTTGTGGTGGCTCTGAATACAGATCGCGGGGATGCTAGGACAATGAAAGACCATAGAAAAATAAATTTCTAGTCATTCCGTTCAATAACGGGTTCTGCTTTACAGAAGGGACTCAATGGAACTAACCATTGCGTAAAACTAATGAACACGTCACATGTGTGAAGTGCATGTTTAGGTAAGGAGATTGAAATGTCACATGCACGTGGTACAAGCCCCGAACTCACGAGGATTATTGGATATGGATGGCGCTGGGTTATTGTTGCTGCTACAAGTACCTGCACCGATTCGTAAGTCCTGAAGGCGCTGTGTGAGAGAGGAGGCGTTGGGTCTTGTTTCTTCGGGGTTGGACCAGAAGGTTGAAACTGGCGGCTGCGGCGGAGGGACGGGATTGGACGCAAATGCACCGGACACCTCTCTGGCGCTGATTTGATTCTCAACTTGGTGCAGCTGGACGGTCAATTCGTTCAACAGGGCCATGCCACCCGGCAGAGAGCACATACTTGGAGTGCCGCGGAATAGTTGGATTTGCCGTTGAAGGTCCTAGGGGCAATGAAGCAGTGATAAAGGGAACCGACAGGAATGAGGGCAAATGGAGGAGAGACAATTACTTGTCGCTTCCTCTGCAACTCCATAATTGAAGCAATAAAAGCGAGATTTGTGGGTGGTGCGTTGGTCGGTTGCCACTGATAATTCCGTCCACGTATAAGCATAGGAGAAAAGCCGTTCTCCTGTTGTTGTGGTGGTGGTAGACCCAGAAGGGAGGAGAGGGAAGAACCCAAGATACTGTCACCGCCAGCACTAGCTGCAGCACCCGGCATCCTGTTACCGCCGCCGCCACCTGAAATAATCCTATTGGCTCCGTTGCCCACCAATGATCTCTGCATCTACGACAGCAATGCGCAAAGACGTTGAAACAGTACTCAACCAAATTAATATCTTTTAATTTAAAGTGTGGTTTATTGAATGGGGGGTCAGATCATGGTACCTTCTTGCATAAAATTTTTATGTATAAACCATCAACTAGCCCCAACTATTGGAGATGTGCTTACCCAACTGACGCACCCCCGGCGGGGAGTGACCGAAAGACTGAGCGCCCTTTAAGTCACGGTTAAATTGAGCACAGAATAGATACTGTGAGGTCACGTATTTAATCCTGCACTCTAACAAATCATCTTGCAAATGAGTCAGTAAGCCATGCCACGTCATCCGAAGAGAGAACAAGCGAGTCGAAACCACTCGTCTGAGAGCAACTACATCATATACCCAATCCCCAAACCATTTCAGATGAGGCATCTTGGCTACCAAAATTAATAAATAAGTTATCACGAAAGAAAATGCTTAATATAATTAAGTATCAGTTTGCCATTCATTTGAAAGATTTATAAGAACGTTTAAATAATAAACTGATGAAAAGCTCCAAACAGCTTCAAACACGATCTAGAATTTGAGGCAAACACAACTAAGAGCATGGTGACCGAACTGATTGTGATTTCATCATTAGCTTATTCCAAAGCAGTCTTCATAAATGAGAGCGACTCATCGTGATTCCTGTCAAAAGCTAAGGCATTTACAATTCATCAAAAACCACTACCTCCGTTCGTGAAAATCCCATTGCCGTCTAAGGTTAAATAAACAGCCACATAAATGGGACGAAAATATTCACAAAAATCTGAACTAATCGCAAGCTTACTCACCGGCATTCCACGTCCAAATGGGGCGACAGCAGCAGCGGCAGCTGAGGTAGATTGCGCGTTGGGGAAGTACCCGAACTGTCCAGTGGCAGTGGGTGAGGTGGGGATGCGACGCGGTCCACCCACCGTGCCAGGGTAACGTGGAGTTCCGGCGTTGCCGCTGACAGCGTTGCGAGAGCGCAGTCGCAACACTGCTATTGACCGATCGATGTCCATGTTACATTCCGCGAGGACGGATTCCACGTCTTCGCGACGAAAGCCCTGCTGCAGGAAGTAGCGCACCAGGTCTCCCCGATAGGCTGCCATCGACTGCGAATTGAGGACTTACTTAAGTGCAATTCAGTACCACCCCAAGAATATAAAAGGAACAAAAAAACTTCGAGCTTCATTTGTCTTAACTATAAATTGTTGGCAGTACTTCGCAATTCTTCATTAACGACGCAGGAATATTGTATAATTACCGTGTTTCATGCTTCCACCTACTGATTTGTAGTGAAAAAAAAACACCACATGAAGTACAAAAAGAATACTTTGAACAAATGTTCACTGATTTAATGAAAAATAGACTGTCAAACGAAGGCTCTAGAACAACCACACCGATGATAGTCCTGTCCGCAGATGCAATGATTTTGGTAAGACTTCTATTGCATTAGTATAGTTGTTCGACATCGCTTGCAAAGACGCTGACTACTCTACGGAAGCTTCTTAGTGCAAATTAGACAATTAAGAATATTACGAATCGCAACCTCTTTCGTCCCATTCGACAGCTATACTTGAATTGTGAGAACAATGAAAGTTAAAGTCGTTCAAAGCCATTCCAGATAAAAAATAACCTACCATTTCTGGCACATTCATACCATTACTGTTTGGGTAGTAATAACCAAAAGCCATCATCGTCCGATAAGCCACTCACACGATTATGCAGGTCTACCAGCCTACTACTTAAGCAATGAAAAAATGCACGGTGCCATGACAGAGGTATTTACACAGTTGGTTCAGGAAGAGGGCAACTCGACACGCTGATGACGCTAGCTGCTAGAATTACATTGGGGAATATCTTTCGAGTATAGATAAGCATGATCCGCAAATGTGCGCAACTATACCATAGAGGCAAAGTGCCAAATAATGAGTTAACTTGATAGACCTGGGCCCTTGGCCCAGACATGTTATGGGTCTGTAACCGGAGTGGGCTTATGCAGTTCAGATGGTCGAGAATTCCGGTGGATTACATCAGCTTATCGGACGAAGAGCAACTCCAGCTGCCCTAACACCCGCAGCTTCGCACACGAGCGCACACGCGTGTCAGCGAACAGAACACGCGTGCGTGTGTACGTATATGCGGGCAATGAGGTCACAGAACAAAGCGCCATCACGTGACGAGTACGCACACAAGTCGACAGTCATCAGGCGCCGGTAACTAGAGGGGGGAAGAAAGGGGACGCAAATTCCAAAACCTACAACGCCAGTATTAACTTCCTGGTGCTGGTCGGCATCTTCCAGACCACCGCTGCAGCCAACGGAGAAAAGTGAGGGGGCAGCAGAAGCAGAGGAAGGGGTTGGACCAGCAATGGCAGTAGGGGCGACACATCGACCAGTTACTGTCGCCCAACTGTTATCTTCCTGGTTTAACAAATGGGCCGAGGAGATGGTGGCCCACGCAGCGCGAGAAGGAAGTCCAAGATCGCTCGAGTCCTCAGCAAGGCGGTTAGCAGAGCCACCAGTTGCGCCTGCACCGAAAATGGGACGCCGAAACAAGCCTCCGGGAGGGCCAAAATGCGAAGAGGTGGAAGGACAGGGCTGGAAAGCTGTGGGTTGAAGAAAGTGCGTAGGGCTCACCCCGACTATCACAAGAGACAGAAACGAAGAATTAAAATTACTGGAAGCCAATCCCCAAATGCCACCATCATGTTCAGCTTGTGGAAGGGTCGAAGGGATAGCCGACTGTTGTGGTTGATGAGATACTGAGGCTTGTGGTGAACCACCACCAGGGGCATTTGCAGTGACGGGAGTTTCTCGACCCTGAGTTGGCCAACATGAAGCCCGGGTGGCAATTTGTTCATAATGCGACTCCCAGACATTAGTACCAGTAGGCGGTTCATTTTTCCACACATTGGACTCTTGAAGCTGTTGGTGGGAATTCAGCAAGGCGGAGGAAGGTTTGGGTTTGTGCAAATCTCCATCCTCAGGCGTGGTCTTCCAGGGGACTGACTGATTGATTGGACGCGTGCCCCAGTTTCCTGGATCGTTCACCAGCTCAGATATATGAATGACCGTAGCATTATTCTCTCGATTCGCTTCAGTGCCTAAGGGTTCTTGCTTTTCCTGAGTTTTTAAGGGCTTATCATTATCTTCTATTTGTTGGGTGGAATCTCTGCCGAGGGTTTCCGTGGAATCGGTGAGAATTTCCGCGGCAGCAACTAGTGGATAATGGCGCGATAAATAACTTACCCATGTGCTGCTGGTTGCTATCCCAAGGATTAGTATTTGCATCCGGAACAGATCGTTTGGACTTTTGGGACCAGATTTGATGAAAGACCTTATCCTGTGTCAAGCTTGGAGGCACGTTACTGGATTCATTATGAGGAAGAGACTTGTTGACACTGACATTAACATCATCCTCTGAATATCCATTTTGCCATATAAGGTTGGAAGACAGCGGCCACTCGGCGATTGGCGTTCCTGAAGAGTTCCAAAGCTTGGAAAATAATGAGTAAAAAATGAGACCAAAACAAACCCTATCACTTGCTGGCCATGGCAAAGACAAGTCCGCAAATGTGCTATCCGCCATTGGATTAACGGCTGGATCAAGATTCGACCAACCAGAAGAAGTGGGAGCAGAACTATTCGCGGAGAATTCTGGAAAGGGGCAGTCAGAGGCAGGGAACAATCTACCATTATTGTCCTGATTCTCATTATGCCAAGAATCACCCCCGGAACTCGGATTTGACTTCCAAAAACTGTTACGTTTTGGTGGATTGGGCATTATGCGTTATAATTGGCAATAAGGAGTCGAGATTGGAGCATCAATTGAAAGAGCTGACTCAGACGAGAATGGTTGATTGAGGTATTTAAAAGTACTGCTGGGAATGTTCTGACCAGGCGCGAAAACAGGATTGAAGCCACAAAAATGCAATGTAAGTAAAGGCACCTCAATGCGAGAACCGCATCAAAATTCCACAGAAGCGCATCGAGCGCGGCACCAACCCAAAATAAACCCCAATGCGTACGCGGACATTACAAATGGATACGCTGCCTACAACATTAAAACTAAGTTCAAGGTTGTAAATTAATTTAAAAATACCTTTTTTAAATAAACAGTACAGAAGCACTTTAAGAAAGATACAAAATGAAGAACTAAACTTGGTACAAGTTAGAGCTATTACATCTCACGTTAAAAAGTTTGAGCTTCATGAGTTTCGTGAAAATGAATTGTGTTTCCTTGCTAGATAAATGCCTAATTCTTTAACAAGTTGTCAGATTAATTTATTTAGACATCGCATTATCAAGGCTCTAAAAAGAAGCTAGTGATACTAATTAGACGATTTGTTCTGTTGTTCGCGAATATGCACCCCATGTGTCCACCTTGCCCTTTGGAATTTATTTTTTGTATAGACGCTAAGATAAAGCCAATGACCTCCTTAGATATTTTCTTCTTTTAATTAGGACTATGAAAAAAAATGCATATTGAACATAATAAAAGGCAATGGTGGGACAACCTCGGAAATCCTCGTTAATGCCATGTGGAAACTTGAAAAATGCAGGTCCCTAACTTGGAAGAAATTGCTATACGTGTTGCAAACTTTATTAACTGTGAATGTAATTACAATTAGGTTATCACAAGCAATCAATGGGAAGTTGCTCAAGTGCAAACCTGATTTATCCTAACAAGTTTACTTGCAGGAGGAACTGATAGAGTCGGCAGGAACTTCTAAATACTTGCTTTACATTAGAAAATGTAGATGATTCACTAACGATGGCAATTCACCTTCCTAGTCTAATTGCTCCAGAGCTAATTCACTAATTACAGAATTTTTTCCATTTTATGAGAAATACGTATCAGTTAATGCCATGAGGTAGCCATCTGAATGATGGTTGTTGTTCTCTGTTCGCATCAGGAATGCAGAGTCTATTCGAAGCAAGGGGTTAGGTATCTTCCCCATCTAATGGACATCCCAATATATCGCCTTTGTTCCTAGCCAGGCGGTGGCTCTCGAATGCACACAAGGGCCGTGGAGTGACCGTGACCGAAACCTCTCACTGGCGCCGCTCCCCTCGGTCACTTTTCTGCCTTCGCCGTTAGTACAAGGGCGGTGCTTTAAGGATCACCAACGAAAAACAAACAAAGATTATGAAGACGAGAGCATATTTGATCGAAAGCCGACGGATTATGAGAATTTCCTGGCTTGCGGCAAGTCCGTGCTCCACAGCGAGTGTGTTTCCTGAGCTAATCGCCACTTGTAAGAATCTCTAATTAGCAAAATGAAAGAAAATTTACATTTTACATCCTTTGCTGTCATCATATTCTCATTTCAGTGGTTCTCGTCCGTCTGCTAAGGCGACTTTTAGCTTTGTTAAGCATTTGCTCATTAGTTTTGCTAACTACCTAATTATTAACATCTTGCTGAAGACGTCTGCAATCCCAGAAAAAGTTACAGTTTCGGTGTTCCGAGGGCCTTGATTTTCTCACTGACGTTTCAAATATTCTAAAATCTCTCGAACGTTGACTTTTTCTTTCCTGATTGAACATCATCACGCAAAGACGACTGTGAGGCCAAGTTCAGTAAAGACAGTATAGAGACGGCAGAATGGAACCACTTCGTGCCACCAGTGCTCGGCTCAAAGTTGCGAATCATCAATTCACCCATCTAGATGATCCACTTATTTGTGTTGATTGGGCCCTCGACAGGATCAGCAGGTCCTGGCACTTTTAGTTCGGTTTCATGTTGACAGTTGACTACCTTGATGCCGAACAGCCGGATGGAGTCCACGCACTCTCAGTAGCCGCCCTGTTTTGGGCCTTTAAGAAACCAGGTACCCACGGAGGAAGTTTTTCTTTCACGACGAGGAAACAGCAATTGTTATTCAACAGGACTGAATTTGCCACGGATGTAGCACCCGAGTTCACGCTTAAAATAAAATTCGGATAGAACAGATAAACGTATGACTTATACAAGTGTCATTATCAAACAATAATGATCTGATTGGTTTGGTGTTTATCAGTAAATAATGGAAGATTTTACGATATCAGGAAGAAATTGTCAATAGTGAGTACTCATAAGGACTTGACTAGGGAGCAACAACCACTATGGGGAAATGCAGCTTTCAATAGCTTCGCTGAGTTGGATCAACTGCGATTCAACTCGGGCACTCCCTGTACCCGCAAGCACGCACGCACGCGTGCACCTACCCGTGGGCAGAAGAAAGGTCGCTGCCAAAGCGGTCTAACGCAGGCGTCTGATTGGCTAAGCTTAACTGATCCAATTTTGCTGTCTCCACCAATCCCAGCGCAGCATTTCGAGGCTCGAACGGCAAGACGACGCCACGGTTGTTATGTGGGGGTTGCGTGCACCAGAGTGACGATGTTGCCTCCTCGAGGTGGACTATTGTGATGACCGATGACAGTGCCAACACAAAAAAGTCCATAGGATACTTCTTTTCTGGATAATAATTTTTTTCCACTAATGAATATGCGGTTAGCTTCGGTAAGTCTAACGTTATCTCACTCGCCTACATCTCATTTTGCCTGACAAGTAATTGTTTTGTAATAATCTGCATGAGTGATGTAAAACTGGAGGGTTGGTAGAAGATCCTTTCATTTGACTGATAGGTTTTTGAACTGTAGTGGTCATTTCTACTGTTAGTCAGCTTGCTGACCCTCTCTTAAGATTTAGGCTTCCATGAATCGCTTTTTACCACTAAGCAAAACAGTTTAGAGTTTCATTTTTTTTATTTTAATTTCCGTTCAACAGTGAATGAGCTGCACTAAATGGTAACAATGAATGAATCCTCATTTGTACTAGGTTGAAAGAGCAAGGGATCGTCGTTTTACTTTGAATAAAAGGGTATTATAAGCAAACCTGTCATCAGAAATGCAAAAAAAAACATTATACAGCTTATTTAATAATTCGTTGGCAGAATCTTAGAGGCGAAGTCAGTCAACCACCACCTCTTAGATGGCCTAGTGGTCAAATACAAATACCATATGTCAGTGACTCGTTTGACAGATATCATTCCCCTCCTTGGATCAAAAGCATCGTCTACCGATTATTTTACTGTTGTCGATTAAACCAGTCTCTTTATGACATAGCTTGCTGCAATCAAAGTTGTCGTTCACTAATAAGAGTTCTATGTCACGCATAGGTGACTCTGGTAGGAACGTAAACTTATTTCTTATTACGTTCGTTCCTTTCATTTTTGCTAAGTTGGCATTTCTTTTGAATCCAAGTTGATCAACTTATCCTTCAGATTCGCGCAGATATAAAAGGCAAACAACGCGATTCTTCCTCGCATTAAAAGTTGCGACTTACTATTACTACCCTCAAAATATTGACAACTTTCCAGTCGTCAACACTCTCATGCCTTCAAAGAACCTACTTTGACGGCTCAACTAACTTTCAGTCAGTTGGAATTTTTTTAACTGCCATTTGACGTGACTGCGCCTGAACCACTCCACAGGCGACCGTCTCGACTTATTTTATAGGCTGCATTGGGATAAATTTTAATGGTCTCTGATGCTAAACTACCACCTCTTGGGTCTTACCTCCCCCCGCACACACACACACGCACAAATGAAGGACCGGATTTGAGTGTTTCAGTGGAAGACGGTTTTTAATATTTACACATCTCCATTTTATTGGATTCGAAATGTATTCCTCCGGTAATTTTTAATTTTTCTGTAGTGCGAAGTCGCTTATCATAGAATGTCTGGAAAAACCGATGACGTATGGGCGATCTCTGCCTTCCTTATTGTATCAATAAAAGCAGTCCAAAAAATAATGTTTTGATTAGCCAAATTCTAGTGGTTGAAGTCGACTCCAATACTGTTTCTTTTTTCGTTGTCAAAACAAATAGCAACCTGATTGAGTTTTGTCCAAGACTTCTTATCGGATCGCATCTCTGTGGTTGGGAAAATACATCACGCTACTTCAGCCAATCAGAGTGGGCCCCTTGAAAGCGAAGTGCTTTTCATTGTCGGGCAGGCGGAGTGTCTGACATGCCACAATTCCATATGTCGCGCCCGCTTTTGAACAATCGTCTCCTGGTATTATAAACTGGAGTTTGCAATGTGCGAGTGTTCTGGAGCCCATCGGCCTTCCAGCCCGATAATCAATAGGTGATGACGTCATAACAGGTGGCTGTATCGATCGCCGTGTGTGAGTCAGCGCAAAGGAGCTCACGGCGAGTGCGTGGGTGCGTACACGGCGGCTGGGTAGCGGCGACCGCCTGAGTTGGAGTCTCCCGATCGTCTTAGTCACGCGATTGACCTTAGACTTGGTGTGGTTGTCGGCCAACTTAAAGTACGAGTGCAACCGACATTTCCAACCTGTTCGGGAATCTAGTCACGACCATGGAAGCCTCTTGGAGATCGAATAGGAGCGTTTCTCTAGGTTTGCAGGCATCCTCAGGGGGTAACATGTTTGTTAATCTTGTCAATGTCATTGTCCACTGCTGTAACAGATCGTTAAATTCGTACTCAAATGGCTGATATTTGGTTATCAAGTACCGTTATTCTGTGTCGCATGAGGTTAAGGTTGCAGGGTGGCAGTCCAAGAAAGAGGGACTTAGCTAATCTTTCTAAAGGCAGTCACACTTTTAGAGTATTTTCCTGAAAAAAGCCTTCACTAAAGGCAAATCTTCGCATTTGCGTGGTCAGAGTTGGTAAGAAGTGTTGCTTTAGACCACTCGACTCGAAGCACCACTTCGGTTACTTCAGTCAAATGTGTTACCGTGGCTCCTTTTTCATTCAAATTTGTATATGATGGAGAGGTTTTTTTCACATTTTTTTAAGGGAAATAATGGGACTTGAATAACTTTTTTAAAACCCACGGCAAGGCTGGCACGCAATTTTAGCTTTTCTGCCATATCATCAACTGCTATTCTAAAACTTTCTGGAAACTAAATAGTAGACTTCGTCGCTTTTAATGGACTCGATTGGAAGTGCAATTTCAGAGGATGCTGCACCTCTCACTCCAGAATTACCACATTCAGGCTGTTAAATTCACCTGGCAATTTTTTCATTTCCAAACTCCACACAAGTGGCAGTGGGGATGAATTTATTCTCCAAGGTGCAGAGACCTTGTGCTCAACAGGATCCAGTGGGTAACGGGACGCTCTTTCTCCATCTTTAATATGATTTTCGCAAGTCTTGTAGCCATCGTCATCTCAACGTTGATTCTTCTATTAGCGAAGCCCAAAAAAGTCAAAACAGTCAGCTCTGTCTCTTTCGAAGTACCTTGTATACGCATATTCGTCGTGCAATAAGGCGAGCGTTTGTTGCAGATCCCAGTTTCTTAGTGCACACTGCCTCTAGAGGCAAAAAGCCTGACCTTAGTCACATTTGATTCCAGTTTCCTTTCAGTTCCCATTTGTCTCGTCCATTTTGTGCGTGACCATGCAGCCGTTGAATAACAGGAAAAGCTCATTAGCACCAGTTAAAGAAACACGAGTCAGGCGAATGCGAAGAAGGAGGATGAGGATGAGAGCGAGTGTCAGAATGGGTCATTACCTTCTTTGCATCCCTACTAAGGTGTCATTTCTCTCACAGGTGATTTGTACGGTAGCATGAAGTACAAGATGTGGCAGAAGCTATGGGACAGGAGGTAGTGCGTTGTGCTGGCATGTAGGAATATGAATAGGAAGGTCTGCTTTTCACCCGATTCATTCATGACTCCTGACTATTTCTCGAGTAAAGAAAGAGAATGGGGAAGAGGAAGAGGCGGAAGTAAAGGAGGGGTGGGAGAGAATGAGGAGGAGGTGGAGGACGTCCTCCTTGTGGGGCTTGGAGTTGCAACGTGTTGTGTCAGTGGATGGATTTCTGGTAGGCCTCCACTAAGTGAACAAATGACAGTAGACAAATTCATCAGCGTTGCATTAGTTGCACACGTGTATACACAGATTAGAGCCTGCGCGATCTTGTGGAGATGGAGTTCTGAGCATTGGGCAGTGCGTGGGGATGGTTTGGAGATGATCAGTACTATGTTGGTTGGCTCAACGATGGATGGACACACCGTGATGACAGAAGCACAGAAGGAGTCACGTTTCGTCAAACACCAGTGGGTGAGTGGGCATTGTCGAAGCAGCACGTTTTGGTTGATGCTGAGATTAGTTGACTGCCAACTGCAAGGGGGCGGCATGAGGTAGCCATCTGAATGGTGGTTGTTGTTCTCTGTTTGCATCAGGAGTGCAGTCTTCCTGAACTTGGTGCATCTATCTTTAACTATTTCTTCGTTTAAATCAAATTGCTTAACCAAACCATCTGCTGACATAGCTAGCAAATTCCGCTTTTTTAGATTTTGCACTGGGTTGAACTTGCTTTTTTAAGCTGGCGATTTCCAATTACCTATGGATTCAGCCAGCTAGTTCTTACGAACTACAACAACACCATCATCACCAACATCTGACACCGCAGTAGTCACCTCCCCTGCCCGATTATGTCTTAGTGCTGCCCCTCTTGTCTTATGACAGCATCGAGCTCTGTCATTTATTACAAGCACTTGGTCATTTTCCTACCTGCAGTTTAATGAACTGAAAGTGACGCCTATGTGAAATAGTTCATGGTGGAACATTCTTGTACCATAGTTCACGTCAATACAGTCTTTTGCGTTAAAAGAAAGGAAGCAAACTGCAGGAAATCAGAACTACACTACTTTTAAAACATCGTCCCCTCCTATGCTCATCTTAGTGTTTAACTAGTACCCGCTAGACTTCGACTTGGAAAGCTTGCTGCTACGTCCGATCCCTCAAAGGTCAGTCTACTACTCATCGTCCGCCATGGTATGATGATGATTGTGCCAACTGCTCCTGCAGAAAGATTTATTATGCACCAATCAGGCGTTTCATACACTACCAGGCTTACTGACTGGTGACGACCTCCTCTGAGAAAGTTAGAGGAGCACAATCGTCGTTGAAACGGGTGCACCAATCAAAAATCTTATTGCTGAGCAGCTGAGTGTCTCAACACCACACCATACTGCGTAGATATAAGTAACTATCCAAGGGGTCAGATCCCACACCTTTATTAAGAAGGAACTTTTGCATCATCACAGGCACTTCTACTGCAGGCTGTCACATTCTACAGGGGCGTCTGGACTGGAGCGGCCACGGCAGAACAGTGGGAGGTTGTTTCGATACCACCTTCATCAGCCATAATAACATTTTCGAATTCGCAATAATTTTTTAAAGATCCATCTGCTTCATGGTCGCACAGATTGTATGAGAAGAAGTAGAGTCTTGCTGAAACATTTAGGCATCCTTTGAAAAGCTCTCTTGATGGACAGCTGGACGCTTGTCGCCGGCCTCTGGAGGCAGGATGTGAGAACTTATGACACATTCAACATCCATTTAACATCCGACATTGTGTTGCCAGTAGTTATTTTCTGTTAAGTATGGAGGAATTGGTTCTGAGAGAGACCTATATCTCTTTCCTACTTTTTGAAAGAGGACTACCTCCTTATGGACGCTCAGAAGGAATACAAGCTGAGGTACGATTCTCCTCTTCCTCTTAACTGCTAAAGTCCGTATTAAACCCGAAAATCCTTGTTAAAACTGAATAAGACGTACGCGGCCAGAAGCCATCCTCTTTTCTTGGAGGTTAGCTGCCCCATATAGTGAACTGTCTCAATATTTTTTTACTATTTTTGGAATTGGCAGGTTTAAGTTCAAAAATTTATTAAATTTACGAGCAGCATATCACAGACCCTGTTCTCACTGCTCCCATTTAAATGGGATAACAAAGGGAGATAAAGCCAAGCTTGGAGTACCTGAAAGGCAACCTTCTTGTGAGTTTCTCGAAAAAAATGCGAAAGGTTTAAAACATCTGCTACCAGAAGTTCCATCTCGAAGGACATTTCATCCATTGTCCTATTTTTCCTTGATCAATCCAACTGCTGGCCAAAGGCACTTATCTTCTTCCAATCTCCCCTTTATTAGCCTAAACATACCCATTTATAGCACGATTAGGCTTAACTAATAAGTAGGTGCAAACTGGTGGACAGCTCTTGTCACATATTTGTGACGCCGAGCTCAGGTGGAGAAATCTAGGCGTCACGTGTGTGTATGTGACTGTTCGGCTTTCACGAATCACTATATTCCTTCTTCACTCCTTATAATTGTGATTGTTGTTGGACGTTCAAAGCACTACTCACCTATCCGTTGATTCCGACATTATTCACTTCCCTCCTCAAGAACTCTACGAGAGTGACAACTGAGGAGGCATGTTGGCACAGCTTTTGCCTACAGAAGGCTCTGTTCTTTTCTCGTAAAAAATTAAGCCATGGTTATGCAGCCAATTTTTAATTCGGGGTGGTGGTGACTCCCAATCCAGAAACACTGACAACGTCGGCGCGCGTGCACTGTATCCCGTTCCAGCGGAGATGTAGGCATAGAAATGAGGTGGAAGGCGAAACCACAAAGACCGTGGCACAACCTTCTAAAAAAGAAAAGCCAATTTAGTCAAACATCAATTTATACAAACCAAAATCTCCGATTTCGTGTGTTTTTCACTGGCACTTCCCTTGGTCACTCTTCTAAGTTAGCTGTGACGGCTAAACCACCGACGGCGGTGGAAGGTGTCTGAAGGTATCTGATTCCAAGGTTTGTCCTCCCTGTAAGCTGCGTTGCAGTAGCAGGCTGGTCAACCCTCCACAACAAGTGCTTTTCCGTTACCTAAGTGCAGAGCTACTTAATAAACTGCAGAAACGAATGTCTGGTGCTACTCGATTGTCTATCTCAGCTCCGCTTGGCTACAAGAAAGGTGACGTAGATGCCGTTGGCTAGCTTAATCCCAATATTCTCATGTAAGAACCACGGACTGCTTCGTGTTGGATGATTTCAAACCATCTAAATCTGATAATGCCTCGGTATTTAATCGCCTTTTTGCCCAATACGGGATTGAGGGAATTTTCAAATTTGAGCATGATTATCTTTATCTTCCCGGTAGGAGCCTTTGAAGGCTTAGCCATCTGCGCAATACCCATTCTCCTTTGAAGGCTTTTTATTGAGTGCCGCCTTCGAGCTATTCCTTACTTCAATGTTCTGCTGCCATAAATTTATCACTCCGAGACTTTTATGCCGCTTGAAGGATGATTGATCGCTGGCGTAAGGCAGAGTTGAAAGGCTCGTTCAGAGAGCCATAGCACCAGCAAGAGGTTGTTCAAACCTCAAAAAATTAAAGAGCTGTTAACTTATGGGCATATTCACCTAGAGATTTACTTAAACTAGGCTTTAAGGCTTGCGCTCCTCGGATAGATCCGATTTAAATAGGCTATCTCTATTAAGATACATACTACTTATCTCATATAATGTAGCTTATTCAGAAAGGTGTTTCACAGCTACGTAAATGTAGAAGTGTACGAATGTATCATTAAGTTGGGTTAAAAAACAAAACGGAAATAGAAAACATAAAACACAACTCCAAAAAATGTGCATCCTTCATTACACGTGAGGATCAAAATATCCCTTTTTCTTGTCCAATTGTGGCTGGTCAGTGCTGCTGAAGGATCATTAGAGATATCACATTGCCAACTTGACAGTCATCAAATATTTTTTTCTTGAGTAATGTGAGTTTCTAATATTTGACATACATACAATTAATCAAAATTGGTGCCCAATTATCGAAATTTCCATCTCAGATTGCTTGTTAGTGCCTAAAGTTGTTCGTCTGATTGCATTAGGCTTGAGGTCCCCTCTAATTTCGTCATAAGCCATGCCAATCCTGAAGGCTTATAACAATTGTTGCATCGGAGACGTGGGAGACCGTAGATACGACCACACGGAGATTGAATAGCTCGCCCAGCCACTACACTTGGATGAACTCTGTGACATAGCAACTGAAAAGTTAAACATTTAAACAGTATTAATCTTGTGGGCAAATGGTATACCTTTTTTGCAAAAATAAAAACCGAAAATAGAATGGTGTGCATTCTGGCTTAGCCTGATATTTTACTCTCTTCCTCCCCTCGATAGGGGTGGAGGTTGTTGTATCTGTTCACTAGTAGACACAACCACTTTGAAAGTGACTTGGTGCAGCTTTCCCACTTCGAAGGTGTACTTCTTACATTTCTCTTAAAAATTTTATGCATCTTCAAAATTATGCCATGACATCTGTTGTGTTAAGGCCTGAAAAGGGGAAGGAGATGAGGAATTAGGGAACTTTTTCCCAAAATCCAAAATATTGTAACCGTGACTCGAGCACCGACTCTTGATACAAACAGTCGCGAAGTAGAAGTGTTCCGTATTTCCCATCTGTTTACGACTAGACAAGATGGTTTCAACATTGAACCAGGTTCATTTGTCAAGGGTCAAAGTCCAATTTTCCTTTGCCAAGACCACAAATGTATCATGTGTCAATTTCAGCAACCAAATGTTAGGTTTCTTCTTTCTCCTTCAAGTGTGTCAAGCCTCCACAACAGAAAGTGTTAATGCAACACCTCATAATTTTTCCTTATAGAGAAGTGACGACATTCCGATCATTTAAACTTTGTGTCCCGCTTCCTAGAATTTGTGAGATGTAGCAAACTACTACGCAAAAGCCCACTAGGATTCATTGTCTTTGGTATAAAACCTGTCAGTGTCAGCTCCAAGGCAAATTCTCGGTTAATCCGACTGCAGATAAGTCGGTTCGTGGGTTATAAGTGCTGTTTTTCTCTTTGAAAAGAAGTCCCTTATGCTCTCTTCCATTAATGACAAGAGTTTTCTATGGAATCTTACATTCCCGTTCATCTTGTTTTGACGTCAAAGCATTGCAAAGGTCAGAGTTCAACACTTCGTGGTAATCGGTTTTATCGAGGCGGTGGGGTCATCAATTTAGGCAGCCATTTTGGACAGAGGTAGTGGATCCTCGTGCCATACTATCATGGGATCAACAACTCACGGCGAAGTAGATCTGCCTACCTACTTAGCTATGCGTTGTTCTTGAATTCCAGAATCAAAAATCCTCTAGGTGTTTGCCTGTACAAATCACTGTCAAGATAAATGGAAGAAAGTCTTTCCCACTTTTAGGGGTGCAAATAAAAGGGTTGGCAATTGGCTAGGGAGAGCTTTCCATTTTAACACAAAGCTAATTTCTTGATAAAATAACTTCTTTTTCCCACCACCTTATTTACTCGCCCTTAAAAGTACGTCAAAGTCGCCTTTTTTGAGGTGATGAAAAAGTTGGTGCGACTTTAGGTGTAGCTCGGTGCACTGACTTCCTGCAAATCGTGTGGACTGGTGAACTATTTTGCGCTCCTCTATAATTATGTCCTGCAAAGTGGTAGGTAGGTCAGCATGGGTCTATTCGTAGAGTACACCTGATTGTGTTCCCAACTAATTCTCTGTAGCCCTGAGCCCTCATGTGGAGGGTGATCAAAGTTGGTGATTGTCATTTAAGATTGTCTACTTTACAAAATGAACTCGTTCACACACCCGCGAAAGCTTTTCAGCAAATTTATTCTGGCATTTTATGAAAGTGCAACACCCAGTATAAAGTAAGCGGTAACAAGGTGTACCGTCCAGGGTCAAGTAGTCTAAGTCGGAAAAATTTGACTCAGGTGATGCCCTATGGATGAATCATGTTCAGGGAGTTGATCCATTCATGCTTCGTACATCTCACTACTGTTGGAGGTGATTCGAGGTTAAGGGGTCGAGAGCATTTGGTCGTGTCCACTACTCCAGATAATGAAGGGCTTGTTCGCACTCGCGTCTACTGAAAGGAATAAGTCGAGGTAAAAACTGCTGAGGAGGCGATATTTCATTTCAAACCATTCATCTTTCAAAGATGCCCAGTTGAGAAAGGATTACTTACTAGCTGACTGAAAGACCTATATTACTCCGACTTTCCTAAAATGAGTGAAAACGCAATAGGCTACTCAACCTACACTTCTGAGGGACATTCTTCCTCATCCTTGCAAGAAAATGCTTGCACTCAGTGTGTATGGTGCAGCCTAGACGCAGATGCTCACTATGAAGGGGTCCAAAGCAATTCCAGCTGAGACCTGCCTATTGGTCCTCCTGTTCTCGGGGTACAGCTAGGACCTAGATCATTTTTGCGACGTAACCCAACCCAGTATCTCATACCATCTCACAAGTTTTCGGGTGAAAATCTGCAACTTATTGGAATGGCGGGAAGGTACTATATCAGGCCCATCCTCATTCTCCTTCTCTGTGTTCCCCTTATTAATATCTAGGTTATAATTCTCTTTACATGGCACTTGACAATCATGTAATCACATGAACAATGGCCTGGATACCTGGGGAAATTGGGGTGGGACAGACGTGAAGGCAACGTAAAATTCCAGACAAAAAGTTTCTGAAAGGTGGAATTTGTGACTGGGATTTGTCTCGTTAAGGGCGGACAATAAATTTAAATGATGGAAATTTTTCTTCGAATAAAAGAAGACCATTTTAACACATTTTAAAACATCTTTTATAACTCCTACGAGATACTTGGTCTTACCCCTTCGCAAAACTTGTAAAGCCATTGACACATCAAATCAAAGCAGTTTGTAGCCTGCCTCAAAGGAAAATGGACCGTCAGAGCCCGAAAATTCTGTTGCTCTGACACACCATCGTCTTTCATCAACACTTTCTCAGATCAACTTCGTTCTGCATTTGCTTCTTAATTTTGAGTTTAACCAATCTGTTTGTGACATGTGGGAACTGGTAAGAGGAGCAAGGTCATCGCATTTGAATGGCTCTAGTAGTAGAACCTATACACAATCCGCTTTTTCTCCTTCCTTGCAACAGATATCGACTATTCCACTATTACCGATGAATTCCTCCAAACTTCAAGTGCTCATTTGGACCCTTCTGGTCGTATTCACCAGTCGGACCTTTTCCAATCTCACTAACACCACCATAACTCCCACTAACAATACCATCTCTTCCATCCTAAATCGTCACCGTCGAGTTGTCTCGACAGCCGGAGTGGGGGATCTTCCACCCCAGAGTGAGATCTGTAAGGAGTTTGTGGAGTCCAAGGTAGTACTTAAAGGCGCCAAGGCAGCCTCACCAGCAGACATCTTCAACAACCTCTCGATTGGAAAGGACTTTGCCATGACTGGACGAAAATACGCCAAAAACTACGTCTTTCAGTCACCAAATTATCCACGCAAATATCCAAAGAACATTGACTGCTTTAAACTCATCGTTGGTGAGTTGTATATTCTTGTTTATATAAGGCACTTTTTTCACTATAGAAGTTATACTTTATATCTAAAGCCAGTTTCTATCCTAATCAACTCTTGTCTTAATTATTCCTTCTCTTCTCTATTTAAGACCTTAAGTCTACTCAAAATGCTGAAACTAGATTATAAATTTCCCTAGATATGTCCCTTTTTTCCTAAGCTTACTTATTTAAAGAGGATCTTGGACTCACTTTAATAAATAAGCTGGTCCCCCGGGCTTTTCTTTAAAAGAATTACATCTTTTGGGGAATTTTAACTTGTTGATTAGAGGTAAAAGCCTCTAGTCAAGTCCGATGGCCTGCGAGGGGAGACCTGAAAGAGCCGAACTGAGTCACGTAGATTTACTCCCCATACAAAAAGTGTATCAAACGCGTTAATAGTTGATTTAGCACCTCAATGGGGCAAGTTCAATTCAAAATGGGATTTCCGACCATATAGAGGACAATTTTAAGGAAAACTACCGCTATCGTAGATAAGAATTTCAAAGCAACGTGGCTATGACACATATGAGTTGTAGGGAGTATTGTCAAGTAAAGGAGTCTCCGTTGCCATTGACGCTGGTCTTTTCGACAAGCGATCGATTGGTCACTTCAAAACACCACGCACACAGAAGCAGAGGCAAAGTAAGCACTGTTCTGTGGAATGGAGATGATGTGTGGCTCGGAGATTTGGTTTGGTGTGCTGTGGGAGATGCGTGAGCCGTTGGGAGGATAGCCATCAATTTCTTCGTTCACCCATCAAAGGGCGAAATGCCGAAACTGTTTTTTTATCATAAATAACTCTTTCATTCAGTCCATCAGTCAAAACACAGCCCTTTCGTGATGGCACATCTCTATGGGG